AGCAAAAACAGAAAGGGAAAGAGAGTTCACTCAAATCCCATCCCCAGTGACACACCTCCTCCAAGGTGGCCACACCTCCTAATCCTTCCCAATATAGTTTCACCAACTAGAAACCAAGCATTCAAACATACAAGCCTATGGAGCCATTCTCCTTCAAACCAGCACAGACAGTGTTTCAAGCTATTGCTTACTGAGTTATAAAATGTCTTTTAAAACCTATGTAATAAGGTAGAAGTGTTTACATGTGGTTTCTCACTGAAACTCAAATTCTTTTGTGTATATATGTGTATATGTTTGTGTGTATGTACGTAGGTACATACATGTACATGTTTGGGTGTATGTCTGTGGTGGCCAGGAGGACAACCTTGCTGTCACTCCTTAGTTTCTCACTAACCTGGAGCTCACCAATAGGGTAGGCTGGCTGGCCAGAAAGCACCAGGAATCGACTGGTTTCCATCTCCCAGCGCTATGGTCATAGTGTGCTCCTTCAACCAGGTTTTATAACATGTGAGTTCTTGATATCAGCCTCTGATCCTCATGCTTGAGGTATCTTCCTCACTCTCAAATTCTTTTTCAAACACACACACACACACACACACACACACACACCTTCTTCCTTTTTTATGAACTGCTCTTATAACAGTGGTTTTCAGTTTTTGAAGTAATAATCAGCCAACAAAGACCTAAAAGGCAAAGTCCAAGGATTCTGAATTTGGATGACACCCACGAAGATGCCATCTTCACAAGTGGAATAAATGATTCTGATGTAGCTGCTGTAAAAACCTAATACCAAATAAAAGTATTGTACTAAATAAATAGACTGCCCCCCTTTTCTGGAGGCAGCTCCTTTAAATGATATTTGATGGTAGCTCTAGACTTCAGTTCTTGTCAGTCTAGTTACCCGGGGTAGAATAGATTGTCTTTGTTTCCTAAATAAATGTGCTATTTCTTTTTTTCTCACTGGAACCTTACAGGACAGACAAGGAACTGTTTTTATATTATATGAACCTGTGAGGAGATACAAGTTGGGCATGATGTAAGTATGACGTATGTCTATAAGATGTAATAAATGAAAAAAAATTGTCTATAACCAATGAGATTGATGTTTCTCTTGAATTTTAACCAGCATGCTGATTTATCAGAAGTCCATCTTGTTTTATTTAGAAACTCAATTACTTCACAATGTGCCTATAGATGTTGGTGTCAGGTTTCTAAATACAGTTATACACAATTATCAGGTAGGAATCTACATTTAACATAAGCTTGCATACATACAAGGCTCAAATCTTGTTCATAGGGCACCAGCTCTGATGAAAAGGTAGGTGCTGGTGCTCTGGTGACCTGGGTAGATGTTATTCTAAAAAGTAGCACTGGAGCCAGTTTGGGTTTGGATGCAATCACAGAATGTGTATGCTAAGCAGAGTCCTCATGGCAGAGCCATTCAGCCCCATTGATGCTTTTGTATTATGAAAATGCTGCTTCTTCTCCTTTGGAGCTAGAATGTGGCTACAGTTTAATCTAGTACCAAGATACCAAAAATTAAACCTCTATCTATAATATCCACACAAACATGCATTCCTTTCATCTGTACAGGTATTTATATCCAGAAGACAGAGGCTAAGTAAGGAGCTGCCTTCTACTTCCCAGTGATATCTCATCCCTCAGCTCCCTCCTTGCTCTATGCCCTACCTTAGTGGTTTACACTCTACAGATGTACCAGTGTGATGCTAGGGCAGCAGGAAGGCAAAGACAACAAAGCAATTACTGTGACTCAGCAAACAAAGCAGACAAATGGATTTGATATTAGCAAGCCAATTTTAAAAAATTAATATTTTCCAGAGAAGGAGTCTAATTACATGGAAAAGATGCAAGCTCCAAGTACATTTTTTTTAAATCTCAGGAACTTACAAGAACTAGAAATTAGAACACAGAGATATGAACTCTTATTGTCCACCAAGCTAGCATGAAAGGTAAACTACAAAAGACAAGCTGTCCTAGGGCTGCAACTAGATAAGCCCTCATGCACATAGTACAAGGTAGGGGGCCAGGTACACCAAATCCAGATTAGGATTCAGGTGGTTAGGAACAGGTCATCTGAGGCAACTAGCTCACATCGCTAGCAAAATTTCAACCACAAAAAGTAAATAAACAGTCTGAAAATAATGAAGAGGGAACTTGACTATAGGACTTTGACTATTTAAAAATGAGGCCACTTTGGGAGATGCAAATCAATAGAGGGCCGGCATGAAGAAAGCCTATCAGAAAGTGACAAGGCCCAGCAGCATCAGGAGCAAGATTTGTGTCTCAAAAATGACAGGTGGCACAGGGAAGTAGTGATAGAACACAGGAAAACCTCCTGGTATAATGGCCACAGGAAGATTTATGCAGGTGGGTCCCTGGGCTTAGAATTACCAGGCAAGATGAAAACCACTGTAGAATTCAAAAGCTATAAGGGACTTTCATTAACAAGCCCCCAATCATCGAGCTGACTCATCAGCAAGGTAGATTTTATACTGAGGCCCACAGAAAAAATAATCAGACTGGCAGCCAAGTGGAACTCACCCAGCTGTCCCTACACCTGCACCTGAAAGTTCAGGCAAGGATGCAGGTCACATCCCAGCTTCAGTGGCAGAAATGGTCCTATCAGGGTACTTCCTAGGAAGTCATTACTGCTCACATTCTAGGGAAAGAGCACCATTGATATAGACTTCAGATTCTTCTGCCTTCTCTGCTGTGTTGTATGCCCCTTCATGTTCTCATCCCGTACTGTAACCATGAGCCAGAGAGCCTTGGAGCAGGGAAGGACCATGGTAATTATAAAAATGAGAACAGGCTTAGAAAAAGAGATGTGACTTGCCTGTGTCCCCAAACACGTCATCTCTCCCGTGATCCTCACTCTAGATTTTTGTTCACTAAAGTTACAGTAAGTGGCAGCTTTGCAGAGGGACCCTGGATATGTAAAGAATATTGGGCTTTTGTGAGTTAAGGTACATCATAGTTTATGTTTGTACAAAGTTTGCTGATTTACTTTTTCTGGACATTAGAGAAGATTCCAGATGTCCTTGCAGTTCTCACTTGTATCTATCTGAATGAAAGGGTAGAATGAGAGCTATACAAAAGGAATTGCACTAAGTTGTGAATATGGTTGATAATAGGTTATTTAGAGGGAAGTGTCTAAGAGATGGTCTCATGTTATAGAATTTACACACACACACACACACACACACACACACACACACGAATCCTAGGACTTTAATAGAGGCTTTTTAGGAGATGGCTCAGTTTTGTTTGGCTTTACTGAAATCATGCCATGCCAGGTGTGGCACACCAGTCAGTCAACCTTTTAGGGAAAATGGAAGGTAATTCAAGAGGATATGACTCTACAGACCATCTATGTGTGGTTTGGCTTTTCTGGCATAACTTCACCATGACTCCATTTATTCTGGGCTATTTCTGGAAGTTATAGAATTGGAGGAGAAATTCCAAGGAAAGGAAACATGAAGAAAATTCTAAAAGTGAAAGAAGGCATTAAACTATTGTGGACCAAATATCACACATTCACACATATACCTATAATTTTTTAATGGATCTCTATTTTTAATGTATACATGAAAAATGCCGAGGGAGCTTAGTAAAGACAGGCATTCTTAGCTACACAAACCCAGATCTTCATGGATCCCAGAAATCTGTTTTCCTAACAACCCAGCATCTAACACTAACTGTGGTAATAAAATACAAATTACTTTACAAAATTACTTAGTTTGGAGTTGCTTTTGCCTATTATTTATTTTCTTGTTTGTTTGTTTGTAGTCGCGACTGTCCTAGAACTATGTAGCATGACCAGGCCAGCCTGGAACTCACTGAGCTCTGCCTATCTCTGTCTCTCAAGTGCTAGGATTAAAGGCATTAACCACTCTCAGCTTATTTATTTTCTTAAAAGAAAGTTATTTTCTAATGGTTGTCTGTAGAAGAGGTGGTCTTGTCCTTGGATTTGGGAAGTATAACTCAAAAAGCTCAGAAGCACTGTTTTAGTCCAAGTCATTCATTGGTAGAAAGAGGAAATGAAGACCTAGAGTTTATAAGCTTCCACAAAGTTAGCCAGCAGTAAGACAAGACAAAGACAAAACCCAAATGAACTCCAGTTTTAGGAACTTGGAAGCTTTGATTTCAGGGCTTGTTTTCAGGGGGTGACTGTTGAAGCAGTCTCAGTTTTGTCTTCATTCTTGCAATCGACCTAAGGTACATCTCCCGTAAATGTTATCTCCCTTATGAAGTAACACTTACTAAAAATGAATTCCCTCATTCCAAACATCACAGCACATGCCTTTAATCCAAGCATACTGCAGGCAGATCTCTGAGTTCTAGTCCAGCCAGGGCTACATAATGAGACTCCATATGAAATACTAATAACCCATACACTTAACCAGTGTTGCTTTCCCTTTGACAAGGCTTAAAATAATTCTCTGAATTTTCTCACATTAAAACACACAATAACCTACTTGTTCGACATGTTCTCTGGCCTTGGTATAAATGGTATAGAATAGCAGCAGCTGTTCATAAATGAGACATGTGTCTTTGAACATGAACAGAAATTGTTTGTTCACATGAAATAGAAAATAAATCTCAGAGAAGCCTCCAGAAACCAGAAATGCAAATGTCTTTCCAGAAAATTGTTAGACATGAATGACCCTTAGCAATGAGTCTTTTCAAAATCAACTGTCCTAGCTGTCCTAGCTTAGTAGTAGCCTTTTACAAGAAATGGCTGAACCTACTGCTATATTCTGCTAAGTTGATTAATAAAAAATATTTATTACACAAATCCTTTCTGTTGACAAGTTAAAATGGAGCCTCATCTTTCATATCTCCCTGAAGATTGCCACCTTGTGAGATTGAAAATACTCATTAAATTCCATCATCAGCCACACAAATGAGAGGGCGATTGTTTTTAGGCATGTGAGGAGAATCGCTGGTAAACTCATTTGTTTGGATATCATTAACAGAACAATCGGTGTGGATCTCCAGGGGGTCCTCATGACCTTTGCTCGCAATCTCTTCATCATCCATCAAGAAATATCAGTACCTAATATGCAAGGCGAGACCAATTTTAAGGTGAGGTGTTAATTAACTAACGATCCTGCTTAATTTCTGTACAAGGGCTGAAAAATACCTCATGCTGTATTGTAAACAAGTGCTAAGCCATCTTTTTTTTATTGTAAGCAGTACATATTTTACAATGAGCAGGGTCAATTTTGTAAGGTTCCCACTGAACCTGTTAGTTAAATTTAATAGTTTGAAACTTTTTCTTTGAAATCTAGTAGACTTGCTTTAACTCGCTGCCATTTTGAAAGCCAGGCTCATGAGACAACAGAGCTCTCTGATGTTGGAGGTGACTCTGAAATGCCACAATGGAACCAAAATCTAGACTGTAACTAATTTATGGTGTACCTATCTGTATTTCACATAATGCATTGTCTGGCTAGTGATTCCTGGGGAGCCTAGCTTCTAGAGCCAGACTCTCAGACCCAAGAACAATGTGTGTTAAAGAGAAGCAGAAGAAAAATCCCAACACCCCTGTGGGTCATCCACTCACCCCATTTGTCCAAGGTGGACTTCACCACTAACCTTTATAAGCCTTCTAAAAATCCAAATCTCCAAGTTCTAGAACACAGGAGGCAACTACTGAAAAGAGCTGATGAGCAAGTTTTTAATCCAACTACCAGCCTAGGCCTTCACCATGTTTGAATGAATCACATATATCTAAGGACTCAAGTGGAAAATTGCATGTTCCTTTTCTTTTAAATGGAAAGCTCAAGTAAAACTTCATTATACACACACACACACACACACACACACACACACACATATAAAATATTGCTCAATCTTGGGTTTAATCCCTTTAATAACAATGCTTCGCTCGTAAAAGTGATTTAAGACCTAAAAGACTATATTGGATTTTGTACATCATGATTGAGATAATTTTACAAAACTAAAGTAAATAACAATAATTTTATTTTCTCTAAAATGAACAAATTAGACCAAACTGGTGCTTCCAAACTTTTGCACTGCAATCCTGAAGTCCAAGGACAAGCCACCCTTTCCACTAGTAAAAAGGTTTAAGAAACCAAGTAACAGTTAAAGTCAACTTGAACTTGAGTTAGTAATGTTGAAAAGCAATTTCTGTTTCTTTACCAGAGTCTATGCTAGACTCTCATTCTTCCTAAGACAACAGACTCCTGGGCTCTACCCAAATTAACAAAATCAGAATCTTTGGTTTGGAATAACAGGGCCCAAGAATGTCTCTTTAGGCAAGGCCTAGTGCTGCAACACCATTCACAGTTACCAAGGGAGGTGCAATGGTTTGATACAGTTTGAGTGTGTGTCCAAGTGGCTCGTGTGGTGGAAGCTTGGTCTCCAGTTTCCCAGTATGATATGAGAGGTGGTGAAACTGGAGCTAGTGGGGAATTCTTTTAGGAAATCCTATTTGGAAGAGACTGATGCAATTTTCATAGAATACCGTATAGTCCTTGCAAAAGCACAATATTGGCCTCTCCCACTTTTGCGATCTCACCATGAGATCCTTCCTGTTGAATAAGTTCCCATGGTGCCATCTGCCCTGCTGTGCTGCAGTTAAGGGGTGAGAGGCTGTAGTGACAGAGGTGTCCGATCTAGGACTTTCAGCCTTCAAAGTTGTGAGCTAAATAAACTACACATGTATGTATGCATAATAGGATGAAATGGGGATAACAGAAATCCATACCTTATTCCAATTAATTTATAAAACGGTATTAAAACAATTCATTGGAAAAAGTAGTCTTATTAATATAAGGTGTTGAAACAAACAAAACCTAAAAATAATAAAGGTTGAATTTCTCTGAGGTACCCTTTCCAAAAAGTACTTAAGATGGATCAACAACCAAAATTTAAGAGTTAAACTATCAAATGCTTAGGAGGAAGCACAAGTGTATACCTTCATGACTTTGTATTAGTTATAGTTTTCTAGCTGTGATGCTTAAAGCAGAACAACTAAAGTAAAAACAAATTATTTGGATTTTATCAAAGAAAACATAGAATATCATAAAACATATGTAAAATATATATTTGAGAAGCCTGTAATATTCAGGGTATATAAAATTACTCTTACAACACAATAATAGAAAGGCTTATGCAAGCAAAGAATTTGAATATATATGTCTTCAAAGTAGATATATAAATGGCCAATGTATGAATAAATGTTAAACATCGTAAGTCATTAATGAAATGCAAATCAAAACCATAGCAACATATAATACCTAGCTAAAATGGCTATAATCAAAAAGAAAAGAAATAGCAAACATTTGCAAGGACTTTAGAAAAATGAGAACTAGAAACTTCACATATTGTTGTAAAAGAGTTTGGTAATTCCTTAATAAATTAAATATAAAATTACCATATAATCCAATAATTTTATTTTTGGATACATATGCCAAATTACATATATTCCAAAAACATATATTACATATATATGCCAAAAACATATATTCATAAAAGTTTGTACATTAAGGTTCACTGGAACATGATTCATAATAATCAATATGTACAAACAACCCAAATGTTTGTCAAATGAGAAAATAGTGAATTTCATTCTAGTATATGGATAATATTCATATAATGAAATACTGTGGAATATTGTTCAGCTATAAAAGAAGTGAGGTGCTGAAAGTGTATATTTACTAAAGCATGGATGAATGTTGACATTGTGCTAAGTGAAAAAAATCAGTCATAGAAAGATAAGTCCTGTATGGTTCCATTATATAAAGTGAGCAAAGCAAGGCAATCCATAAAACATGAGGCGGATTAGTGGTTGTCAGGGGCTGGGGAAAAGGGAAGAAAGGGAGAAAAACTGCTAATGGGGACAGGTTCCTGTTTGGGGTTATAAAGATGCTATGGAATCGCACTGTACATTTGCCTACTGAATTCTATATTATAAAAGAATATCTCATATTGTGTAGACAATTCCTTAATACACATAAATGAAAATGGGAAGATGACAGTTTTGTACCCAGAAAACACTGAAAAAAAATTCTTTCAGACTCCTAGCCCTTGTTTTAAAGTGTCTTTGGCCAGTACTTCTCAAATTATCTACTGAAGAATCTATGTTTGTTTTCTGACCTATCATGGATTAATGTTTTTTGTTAGATGCACCAAGTTGACTAGAAAAAAAAATGAAATTTAAAAAAAAATCTGAATATAAGGAAAATATAAACCTATTGTTTTCACTGTTAGATTTAACGTACATAAAAATTCTAGGACATAAGGCTTTGAGTTCTAGCTCATTTTTTAAACGTACATCAGCAAGTCCAACAACAGTGATGTGTAGATGGTGCTGGTGAGTGACGCACATTATGAGCAGAACTGGTTTCAACCACACTCAACTCTGTAAGGGAATAAATGCTTGAGGGTAGGTGTTGTAAGAAGTCTTTAAAGTAATAAATATTGTCTTTACTCATATTCACAGACTGCCATTGATGATATTGAAACCATTTTAGGAGTAACAGAAGAAAACAAAATGAGATTTGAAGGAGAAAAACAGACCAAAGAAAAGGAGGATAACCTGTATGAGTCTGTTGAGATACAATAAGATATATCATGACTGTGCATACCTGTCTAGAGCAAGAAAGAACAATGTTTCCTTTTGCTAATAGCATAAAAATAGGGAAGTTAGTTTGTTCTGTTTTCCAAGAGGTTAATCAAAACAAACTGTAATCATCTTTAAAATCTTGCTTATTATGTGATGTTATTTCACTTACTAAACTAAAACTTGTGAATGATAGGCAGTCCCTTCCTCTTTCCAAAGGAGCTTCAGAAAAGAACAGAAGGAAGCTTTTGTCACTCTAGTTTTCTTGTATTTTATAAGTTCTCTCCTGTTTCCAAGAGTCACTTAACTTCTACATTTAAAACACTGAATAAAGCATAGTTAATGCTATTTGCCAAAAATAAGTGTCTTCTTTTCCCAAAAAAATTTAAATCAGTATTTATCATCAGTTCTATTTAAATTGTACCAAGCCCTTATTATTTGTTCTTGCTTTCACAGAGTAAGAAAAGCCAATGTGAAGTTAACCGTGACATTGAAATGTGTCTAGGTGGCAGTATCTGCTCTTAGTTTAAAGACAGTGTTGCTGGAGTTCCCAGCGTCAATGAAAATCCCAGTTACTAATTTTCTGCACGATACAACAGTAGGATTTTTACGAGCTGAATTTTTAACTGTACCTTTTAAAGGACAAATAGCTGCCACTCTCAGATTTTGTTTCATAATTGTCTAAAAACATTTCTACATCTGCCAGCTTTATTGAAAGATAAATAGGCAAGGTACAACAACAAAATCACATAAGTTTTAAAGAACAACCTTCACATTTATAAAAAACACATATATTTGGGAAATGAGAAGTAATTTTTGCCTGTGGAATTTCAATCATTTTTAAACTGCTTCAGCCACAGGCTAAGAGTTCTGTTATAAAATTAACATTTCTCTGTGTGTCTGCTTTTGTTTAGCCATTATAGGAAATACATTAATTAGCCAGGTTTCCTGTCTGTGCTAGGTACGGTGATGACTCCTTTCTCTTGCCAGATCTCTCCAATCCATCCGAGAGGCCTATTGTCCAGACACTTGACGGATAGGAAGTGCTACATGCCCGTTAGAGTCATTCTTAGATTGAAGCCAGAGCAACATAAGGTCCAGGAGACTCATTAGTTCACTGGCACAATCATGTCCTGAGAGTAAATGAAACCCTCTGTCTCCTTATGGCTCTCATCTGCTCTGGACTTTAAAAGAAAACTGTCTCCATTTTGTTCAGCACAGCAGTGGATCATTCACGTGGCCAAAGCCCTCCTCACAAAACCATTAAAGCCATAGGGAAGTTCCGAGTGTGGACTGTGATTAGCAATCCTGAGCCTGGAGCTGCTGGCAACAGTAAACGCGTCACTGTCCTCTCCTTTTTTTTTTTTTTTAAACCCACATGATTGGTTTCTCAAACAATGCCACTTGCTTCCTTTGCATACATCATTATTTTATAACACAAAACACTTGATTCCAAACTCAGGCCTTCTC